GGGGGGGGGGGGGGAGTGAAAAAAATCCATGGGGAAAGAATTATAGGAGAAAAAAAGTTGAGTATAAGTGAACAGGTTTTCTTGGGGTGGTATTTCATTGAAAAATGCTTTCCCCACGGTATACTCTCGAGCCAAGCGTAGAAAGCCGACGGGAACGTGGAACGAATGTCTGGATTAGAAGGGGCAGAGGCCGAGGAAGAGCGATATGACGGTGAAGAGGATGGATAGTCGGGCTAGGGATTGTGGGATCCTGAGATTTTTCCTTGCCTCGAAATAAAAATAGAAGAATAGAGAAAGAGAGAGAGAGAGAGCGAGAGAGAATGAACCAGATTGACGCATTCCACTCGATCTTCCTCGTGTTATATCGATTGTTCTTCAATGTCTAGGTAATTATTGGATTTTTCTGAACAGTACGAATAGGTGCTCCGCAAGCCCGTTGATAATCAAATAGTTGCAATTGTCTATTGGAAAATATCTGAGTCATTTCTTCAATGAGGCGCAAATTGCACCCAAATCCTGTTATTACAGAATAACACAGCGGAAAACGACATTGTCAACGTTTTAAAATTGGATACAAACACTGGAGGATGAGAAAATGATAATACTCCAGGCACTCCTTTGGGGATGTAGGCGAGTGAAAAAACATGGAACGATAAATAACAGCAAGTACACAAACTGTACAATTCTCATTTTCTATTTTGTTTTCTTATTCTCCCACAACTTTGTACTGATTCAAATATATGCATCCTGATTCTCGCACTCTACGCCAAACTAAACGGCAAAGAGAGGAGGAAGGGAGAGACGGTATAGTGTCACTGTGGCAAAAGTTTCCGGCGGAACGAATGGGAATTCCCCTCCCCAGAATTGTTCGACACTGGTGTAGCCCCATTCCCCTGTCCGGATATTTTCCACGACGTGCTCGATTTGCTAAATTGACCGGACAGAGAGATACGACCACTTCAAAATATCACTGCTATCTACTGCCAAATAGTAGATAAAATTGATGCAACATTTTTCCAACCTTCAAACTAATTTACTAATGTTTTTTTTTTCTATTCTCATTTTTCAACAGGAGAACTTCCGGCTGCTGTACATCACGGAAGTGGTGTTTCGAGTGCTGTCCTCAATTTCTGGTTAATTCATCTAACTGTGAGCTATGGATTTTTGAGATGACAATACTAAGGTGAGTATTTCATCGTCATAATGTCACACTGTACGTTTAAAAAGTTGAACCCAGTGTAACGGACATTTAAAACAGCGGGGCCAATTTCAGAAGTACATGACCCGACTGACTTACCAAGAACCTCCTTTTTGTCTCCCCATTTTTTTCTCTTTCATTTGATCTTCTAATCCCAGTTTCAGATGAGTTTGCAGACGAGCGCTCTGGTGCTCATCGACTTATAAGAAGCTGCATAAAGTTTCCGGGTTAACGCGAAACCTTTGCTGTTCCGGAAGAAAAAAGTACTGTAGAATAAAAACCGAGTGAGGATAGAAAATATGGGCGGGGGAATGCGCGAGTTGTGGATACAGAAAACGCAAGCACACGGAACTGCCGGAATCCCTCGATAATCCCGTTAACCTGCTTCCTCTTTTCCTCCTCAGTAATACCTCACGCGTGCCAATTAATTTGTCCAACGAGATCCCCTTGATCCTGCCAGATGGCTGTTGTTCGCAGGACCGATCTGAGCAAAAGAAAAACCTATGAAACGGGAATTGAAGCGATATGAGGGCTGCCAGCATTGATGAGGCAATATGCAGTATACTGGAGCATCACTCTCGTTTGCAATCACCCCCAAATGTCCGCTATCTCATATTCGACAAGCATTTCCCACCTCTCTACCTTCGTGACAAAACACAAAACGACATAGTCGAATCCGGTGGGTGCTTATCAGCCAGATCCCGGTCTCACTCTATTTCCAAAGATAATTTCTACTGTCCAACCCTTGTTCCAACTCACCCACCACTGCCCCCTCCCCCCTCCCCCCTCCTCGTGTAGCCCTGTAACGTATGACAACACTCGCGGAAACTATAGTTTATATAGATCCCCGAACGAACGGGGCAATGTCAGTTCACAGTTTGGCTGGTATCATTCGGCCCTGCTGCGACATACCCAACCATCGCCCATACCCATTGCCGAGCTTTCATTATCAAACGTCATAGATCACAACGTGCACGTCGAGAATGCCCTACCACCCTCTCCCAGCACCGTGATCACACTCTGTGACGGCGTATCCGTTCATTCCTCATCCGACAAAATCGACGGTATAACCTCTGCCTCCCCCTGATGCCAGTTGTACAGCTCAATTCTGTAGTACTCAATTGAAAATACTCGGGGGAAACTTTCAATTCGTCATTTTATTCGCTGGGGTGTCCCCATATGTGGGAGTTCTGAAAGACGGTTACGTTGGTTCTTGATCGACAAGCGCTTGAGCCCATTGAGGGGTCAATGGTTTTGGCTCCTATCAGCACCGTGATCATAGGCTGTTGGACATTTTTTGAAATTTCATGGAAGATATTATACGAGTGAGATCGTGATTTCACAACTTGATTGAATTTTCGGTGGAACATGAATTTTCAGAAACAAAATCACACGAATTTTCAATTTTTCCCTGAATTTTCCTGATTTCCATAAATTTTCACAGAATAATTCAGTAGTGAAGTGGTAAACGGAGATAAGTCGACTTATCTCCCAGTTGAGTTTTTGAGGAATATTTCCAAATCTAAGGGAGATAGCGAAATTTTTGTAATTACATTTGTTGTAGCACTCAATCGGCCCCTCCAAAAAGATTGTAACAAAAATTTTTCTGTCTCCTTTAAATTCCGAGATATTGATTGAAAACTGGTCAATAGTCAAAATTGAGTTATCTCCTTTTACCACTTCGTTACTGAATTGAACTGAAAAATCAATTATTTTATTGATTTCCAGATTATTTGAACCAGATCATTTCAACAGAAAATCAATGGAATATTTGATTTTTCAATGACAAGATTTCCTGAAATTTCGGTAAAACTTGAACACGATAAAAATTTCCGGAATTTGGCACCGATAATTCAGGCGAAAATTTTCAACAGTATACTCTATGACGACCTATCCGTTCATTCGCCGCTCGAAAAAATATATATCCGCAGATATATCTAAAATACGCCCCTCATAAATTTGCGGTAAAATATTAATTATCCCAGATATATGCTGATTATAAGTGTGCGGATGTATCCGCAAACTTACATCTCGCATATATCCTGGATATTGCGTTTTATGTCACATATAATTTAAATATAGTCACCGGGCATATATTTTTCCCATACGGCTCCTCATCCGACAACATCGACGGTACAAAGTCTGCCTCCTCCCGACGTCAGTTGCACAGCTCAATTCCGCAGTACTCACTTGAAAATACTGGAGGGAACCTTTCAATCTATCGTTTTATTCGCAAGAGTGTCTCTCTATTTGCGATATAGTTCTGAAAGACAGTTGCATTGGTTCTTGACGGACAATTGCTCGTGTCCATTAAAGGGTCAACGGTTTTAGCTCTTTTGAAAAAGCATCTCTCCAAGCATTCCCCCAACCCTCTGCAATCTCATAGTTCGATTAACGTCGAGAGACCAACATTTAAAGTGGACATCTGACACGCGTTAAACTCGTTCCTATCCCGTTTCCCAGCTCGTCAAACTCCGTACGCCTAAAACCCCGTAATAGCACGCTAAAACCTGGCAGATATGTGTCATGCCGGAATGCGTGCCCACTGCGGAGTACTCGATAACGAAATTTCCTCTTCATCCAATGACAACGAGTGGAATGTTAAAAAAAAAAAGAAAAATATCGGTATACGAGTGGGAAAACGAGGAAAAAAAAACTGTGGAGAACTGAAGCAGCCGATAAAGAGCCGAGTTGGCAGGATGAAAAGTGGGGGGCGAGAGGGAGTGGAAAAAAACGTGATCGGAACACGAGAATTTTGTCGAGCGTGAACCAAGGATTTTCCTCTCTTTTTCCCGCTGTTTCTCGATTTTCCGCGTACTCCTTTGGCGGGAATTTTAAATAAGGCTTGGCAGTAAATCCCATCATCGAGGAGGAGGTGAATTGACGAGATTTTTGAGATTTCTTCACATCACTTTGACATATCCTCGTCCTGTCTCTCGCGCTGGCTTTTCTCTCCCGACGGATTAATTTTCAACTCCATTCTACTCTCATACACCCATTATCCGGACACCTTCAGCCGTTGATTCACGACGTGGGAAATCAACTGGAATGCCAGCCGTCACTACGACGGAACCACACACTTGTTCCCCCACCGCTCTATATACTTTGGTCTCTTCAGTATGTTTCTTCATCTTTCGCTCTCTCTCTCTCTCTCTCTCGTCTTATTTTCTTCGTCTGAATCTTTTTTCTTGAGCTTTTGCTATAAGTTATCCGCCAATTTCACCCTGGAGCAGACTAGATGGAGGCGGGCACTTTACGCTGCAATAAAATTGGAGATACGAGCGACATTCAGCTATTTTTGCTTTATTTTTTGTCTCCCCTCCCACTTTTATGGAGACAGAAGAACACGTGAGCAGTTAGAATCGAATAATTGACGCTACGAGTTCCAAATCGACAAATCAATATCTATGGCAGAGGAGTGTGCCTGCGGATGTGGAAAAAAATATCGCAGTCTACTAATGGTTTGAATTTTTTTTCAATTGCACCACTTGGTAATGAATGCAAAGCGTCAAGCACTTGTCATCGGTGCATTCGCATGAAATTTCCATCCGCTAACGAGTGTCGAGGACATGTCATCGTGGGAGTGAAAATCAAGCACATTTGTTTTTCTTGTTTTAGTTTTATAACAAATTTTTTCTATTTTTTAGCTATTTAATTCCCACCTTGTCGGGAAATATCGAGAATTACTACTGTGAAACTGGGTGCATTGGTAAAAAAAGCTCAATTGGCGATCGAATTTTTCAGCAACATTTGCCACATGTGATTTTATCACAAGGGATTTATCCCATTTTCGAATGAAACCGTTGTGTTATAAAATGAATGGGTTTACGTTGGGTGATTTCCATTGTTGTTTCATGGAATAATTTAATTGTACATTGTGTGTAATTGAAGAACGATGAGTCTAATGAATACGCATTCGAGCGAATGATTATTATTTGCAATTAGGGAAGAGCTCATTAAAAATTATCGTAATCGCAGTCATTATAGTGAAAATCATTATTTTCAGGGGGAAACATTCATCTCCGTTTTGAATAATACTTCTCAGAATTACCAAAAACATCACTATCATTTCGAACTTGCTCAAAATCTCAATGATGTTTGCCACATGCTATTTTATCACAAGGGATTTATCCCATTTTCAAATGAAACCGGTGGATTATAGAATGAATGGGCTTACGTTGGGTGATTTCCATTGTTCTTTCATGGAATTTAATTTGATATTGTGTAGAATTGAGGAACGGTGCAAATGATTATTATTTGCAGTGAGTGAAAAGCTGAATAAAAATGATCGTAAACGTAATTATTATACTGAAAGCTTTTTTTTTAGTGGCAAATATTCGTTTCCATTTTAAATAATACTTCCCAGAATCAGGGATCGACATTAATCATTATTTTTGTAATGTTTTTGTAATATGATGATTAATTTAATAATTAAAAAATTGTTGGGTAATGTTAACCAGTTAGCTACACGGAGAGAAATTTTTAATAAAAATTATCCTACCGTTCTATAAAAGTGTATCATGAGTCATCATTTCCTCATTTCTATCCCGAAATTTAGTAAAAATTAATATATGATGATCAAATTTTATTCTACATTAGAGGAATTTTATCCTGACGCATAAAGAATTTTACCCTTCCAGTGCAATAATTTTTATGTAGATAACAACGAAAATTCTATAATTCTTTTTATTTTCATCAGAATAAAATTTCTCTAACGTAGAATAAAATTTGATCATTATATATTAACTTTTACTAAATTTCGGGATAGAAATGAGGAAACGATGACTCATGATACACTTTTATAGAACGGAAGGATAATTTTTATACAAAAGTTTATCTCCGTGTAATGCAAAATTCAGCTTAATTTAAAAATGATGATCATACTGTCTGTCCCGAATCACCAAGTACAAGTATACAAGTATATACCATACAAGTATCATTTCGAAATTACTTAAAATCCCGATGTTTGCCGTAGTCAAAGTGGAATTCACTAATAGCATGCTCAGCTGGAACCAATAGCCAATAATAATCACGTGCGTGGTGTTCAGTAGAACCCGGTGAGAATGGGAACGCGAAGAAATACGTAAACGTTGTGGTTACCGAAACCGATCGGCCCCGGAGTAAACGAGAGGATCAGCAACCGAACGCGCTTTGCGTAATTTGGAAGGCATCCAAATATTCGTAAAAGCCCGAACTGTTGTGTTTCTCGACAAAGAGCACGTACACACAGAGACACGCGGATTTTCCAGAGGCTCTGACAAAACATACCAATGAATCGTGGTTCAATAACGCTACATAACGCTACGGACATTGATTAAACCGATTGTATTACCAAGCACTTTTTCATTATTTTACATATTCCCGCATACACCACCATCGGCTCTTTATTTACTTTCAAATATACCGAATATACCGACCGCCGTAGAGTTGTGACGGGTGCAAATAATTTTCCATCGCATTTAACGAATTTTATGAATTAAAAATGACATGCAAATTTTTTAGTTCTCGACCGGCTGAAAATCTGGGAGCCTACACCAATAATTGTAACGTTTACAATCAAATGAGTTGAATGGAGCACTCATTAGTTCGCAAAAGTATTTCTAAAAAGAGAAAATATTCCACGAGAAAATTGTGAATTTTCGCTCTGGGGTTATGCAGTTTCAAATTACAGATCTCAATTTACAATTCAAATGCATTGATTAAACGATCCGAGATAAATTGATCAATTAATGCAGTATATTGCCCCTGTCCTCCGGAAAGTGCAATATAACAGCTGTATCTCCGGTACACTTTGAAATTTTAAATTTCATTGCTCCATCCAAACATGTCCAGGCCATGTTTACACCCTGAAAAGGCGTTTTGAAAGGGGTGAAAAAAGAATAGTTGATAGCATTTGACAAAATCAGTGATCCATCCATTAAAGCCATCCCATCCAAACAACAGCGTATCTCGGATTTTTTTCCACCATGTATCACTGCTTCTCACTGAAGAGCATGTCAGGTTTAACGGTGTAGCGTTTGTTTGTTACCGACATGAGCCCCGAAGCATTCACCAGGAAATTCGGTTAACATGTGCGTGCCAAAAATGAAGCTAGACGAATCTAGATGCAAAAATTGAGTTTTGAAAATGAAAAGTGGATTTGGAAACAAAAGGAGAGAACTGAAAGAATAATTTGGGCCCCGGAAGAATAGCCTGGGGTGGTCTTTTTGCACGTGTAGTTGTAGATTGTAGAGAGACTCATGAACGGTTCACGTGAATCACCGAATCGAATCCATTGGAGCTTCCCGTCTATATATGAATAGAATCCGGTATGGAAAACCACTGGTATCTGTATATCTACTTTCTGTCCTTTTCTGTGTCCCAAACCCCGTCATCCAACCACAACCACGAATTGCGCGTTACCTCCAGTGCACTGACCCAAGCGCTTTTTCACCCTTTTGGTTCTTACTGTATATCACATATAAATTGATTTTTTTTATAAAAAAAAAACTATTGATATCCAACGTGATGAAAAAAAAATCTGCGATTTACAACAATTGAAATGGACAGAAGTATTATTCTGCAAACAAAAACCAAAAGTTTTAATGGGAGGAAGTGAATTTTGCAACTGAAAATTGTGCAGTGTATTGCGCTCGATTCGTATTCTCGTATAGATGAGGTATGAAAACAGAAAAAAAAACGATGAATTCGATGTGCCACTGGGGAATAAAAGATTCAATCGGATTACGTGAAAATTGAAAAATTATCAATGCCGGTGAATCTTCGGACGAGACTCAACCGCTCCCGTTTCCTCCCCCTTTGGGAGATGGACGGATAGACATGGGTGCCTCTCGCGCAAATCCACATGCAGCTCAAGTAATTGAAATGATGAACCAGGGGCGGTGGCCAGTTTTTTCGAGGTTTTTTCTGTATTCTTAAAGAGGATGGCTTTTAATTGAATGTTCTTATTCCGATCACTAGAAATGCGATGTCTCCGAGCAGTTTGTAACCGCACCCAAGGCATTACCCCCCATGAATTTCACGTCGTAAACTGTGGAGAATAATTTTTTTAAAGTGTTACAGTAGTCTCTGCTGAATGTACAAACGATATATTTGTCATTACCAGATCCAATACTAAGTACATTCAATGACCCGAAGCAGTGCCAAACATTTGCAAATATCGCACAAGCGCCACAAATTACCCAATATTGACAGAGTAAACAACCCGACGCCGATTTTAATATCCGAAATGCATGAGGCCCAGTGAATACAATACCCCCATAAATATCATATCAGAAGAGGTTAGAAGGGATACAGAAACATAGAGCATCGAGTGTGCATCGAGAGGTTCCAACAGAGCCTGTATTTCCGGTATCAAGGGGGATAAAATAATATCGATAACCGATGAGTCTCCGGCATTTTCCCTCTCCCTTGCCCTTCTTTCTCTCTCCCTTTCTCTTCATGATATTTTCCAAACCACAGAATTTAAATATCTATTATGCCACCACTCGTCCGCCCACCAATACCAATCTATACACATTGGCTTTTGTATTTTTACGACGCGGCAATGCATATTTATTTTCATTCCGTTTCCCAGTCTCTTTCCACCTCCGATCCCTCGCATCCCATTTTCCCGCATTCCCGGCATGACCCCCTTTTTTGTCATTCCTCTCTCCCTTTCGCTCTCTCCGCCCCCCCCTTCCCCCTTAAAATCCTGGGGATCAGTATTATATACCACGCGTATTTCGCGTACCACGTGAAAACGATAACAAACAGGGCAGGCAATGCCAATAGCACAACGGAAAAGCAAGCGCCACCACGTTGTTTCCATTTGTTTCCGCAGACCGAAGCCATGGGCGCGTGCTAGTTGATGAGAGCCCCCTTCCGACCGCGTGGTGAACCACTTTCATCCCTCCGTAACACCGAGCCCTCGCTTTCCTCTTCCGTTTCACGTTCCTCATACACCTTTATCCGTATTTTTTTTTCTCACTAGCTATCGTACGGCGTAAATAATACATCGCCAGGGGGCCATCGACGATCCGTGCGAATGCGTGTACACGCATCTATCACCATACGAGTATCCTTCGTTATTGGCTGCGCTTGCACCGGGTTGCAGCCCTTTTTGTTGTTATTCTCCCTCCACGATTCTCCACTTTTTCAATTCTCCGTTGTAATTATCTGGTTTTTTTCCTTCATCCGTACACAATGCAATATTCCCTTTTTTTCGAGGCTCACCGATGCAACAGCTCTACTCGTTTTTTCCCCGTTGCGCTTCTTGTTTTTTCTTAGTTTACAAGTTGTTTGTTTTGCTTTTGAAAACAAGTTCTGTATTACTTGCTATCGGAACGTTCGGGATACCCCGTGGTTAATTCAATTACAATTGCTCGACGAACGGAGATTCTCTGTGGCTAGTGAATGGGTGGAAAAAGTTGTTTTTCTTTTACGACTGCAACAGAGCTTTGTATCTGCCCAGTGAAGTGATTAATGATTTTCTTAATTCGATATGGTTTTGTCTTGTTTTTTGCAGAATGAAAACTGGGACGAGTTGTGAATCAGCAATGGAATCAAATGGATTCCACTCCTCTCCTTCTGTGCTGAGGAGGCACACGAGGATGAAAAGGATCAACGTCGAGTGTAGAAAACTACCGGAGTGAAGGGAATCCTGTAATTCATTTATATGTACATAGGTGTAACTTGAGACAGTGCATGCGAGAAGAAACGGAAGAGGGCAGGCAGATCGTTGGTGTCGAGCTGGCACGAAAATTTATAACCAATATGCTTTTTCCCTGAGCGGATGGGGCATATTTCATGGGCGGAAGCTAGTCGTTTCCGCCTTCGACTTTTCCTCAGCCATCGTGAATCACTCCATCGGTTTTTCTCTCATTTTGTTACTCTCTGTATTTATTTTTCATTTTTAAACGCTGAGTATCATATCGACAGATTCTTCCGCTGAGGCACTGGGGAGTATTCTCAGATGTTTACGAACCCCATCATCTCCACTGTTAACGAGACTTTTCAACTATTACTGCGATAGTTAATAGTTAAGAAGCCTCGTTAACAGCAGCTAAATCCTTCTATCAGGGCGTGTATTGAATCACCAGCCGACTCTTCTACGAAGAAAGCCATTTTATAAGAAAGAAAATCATTCCACTGTTGAAGAAGGGAAAAAGTATAGCTAATTATTGATTTTTCCCATCTCCAATCTAGATAGATAATTAAATTTCTCACAGTATGATGACTGATTAGTGACTAGTGTGGTTATTTCCTGTTCAATTATAACAATAATGCGCCTGCGATTCGTAATGAAGGAGGGAGATTGTTGGTAGTTGAATGGAAAATGTGCAGTGAAAAGGGATGAGACACGCAAAGGCCATTCTCGGGTTGCGGTCTTGTACCATTGGAAGGTATACCACGCCTCATCTTGATGCGCAAAATCGGCTCGACCTAATTAGAGCCGCGGTAACGTAACGCTAATGGTCCAGGGCTACTAGTCGATTGGCATTCATGGAGAACCCATTGCCAACCACCTTCTCACGATTAACTGTAACTACACAGCCCTTTCTCACTGATGGGTCTTTACAGTCTTTGCGTAATTAATTGATATTTCGGGGGTACAAATGAATGACAGAATTGTTATGTAGTATTTGATTATTTTATTGTGTTTAACGGAGGAAAATTGACTCATTGTGCTGTTGAGAAAATTGTGATGTACTTTGGAATTAAGAAAACGTATCAGAGTGCTTAAGATTCATACATAGGCTCAAGGGGAATTAGAGAGAATGAGGGGATAGAGCACAGAGTGAATTTAAAATATATACATATTGTGTCGATTTTATCTAATAATAAATAACATTTACAATAAGATTATATTTTTATATGTAAATACGTCGTCGTTCTTTCTTGTTATTTCCATAGAATAAGTGACTATTAAATCAATAGTACTTTTAACTAAATGAGTCGTGTGAAAATGCAACGCTATAATACATAGTTATTGACTTTGTTATAACTCGGGACCAGCCAGCGAGGGGATTTAAATAAAACCTGTCACGATCTGCTTAAAATATGTTTCAGGCGAACTTTTTTTCTTTTGAATTGGACAGTTGATGGACAGAAATTACAGAGCCCTGAATTTTGTTCTTCCGATTGAGTTAACTACAATTTTAATGAATTCACGATTCGGGATTAATCTACATACTAAAAATACTGGAACAAGGATGGATTTAATGGACATGAAAAATACCCGGAACCCCATCCGTGACATTGATTACAACAACATCGATCGTGGCGGGGTCAGCAAATTGTCATTCAAATTCCCATCAGACTCTGTCTTCGCTGATTAACAAGGTCTGTGTTCACATTAGTGGGGGGGAGTCTAAATGAGGGGAGAATTTAGTCAGTTGAATTGAAGTGAAAAAATATTTTACGTCATGTTAATTGCTAGGCGAATCAATAATAACATTAGCATTGTTTACCCTGGAATTTCATTCCACATGTGGACAGATAAAGTTACGTCAATTGATTGCCATTTTTATTGACGAAAGAGAGAAAATTGTAAATACTCATATCACGTTGCCCCCCCTATTTCCAACTGAAACGTAATCTCCATCTGTCTCTGAGATTTCCCAATTGAATTCGATCATTCTCCATTACTAAACCCTCTGAGGATATATTTCATAGGAATAAAGCTCAATCATTAATCCATCAATTACACTCGTAATTCAAAGGCATCCCGGGAATTCGTTCTCCCTCCCTATTTTTTCACTCTCTACAACAGTTCGTTCTGCTACAACTGACGGATAAAAAAATTCAATTGGAAAATTCTGTATCGTCAAATCAATTGCTCTGAGCAGCAAAGAAGTAATTTACGGCATTCACGTTTTTTTTTATTAGAAAAAACAGCTTGAAGCGTTTGAACGAAAATTCCATGGACGCAAAACGTGGAGAATCCGTCTTTTCGTACATACTCCACTACCACACGACGTGCCCCTGCTTATAACGTCCAATCTACTGCTACAAATATACGCCCGACGAACCGTGTGTCTCACACTCGATCACTCGCCCGCGTTTGTCCGGATATCCTCGGTTCTTCTACTTCCGTAAATTGCAATTCCAATGTTTTTTCCCCTCCCAAGCCTTTGAAAATGCTTCTCCAGCTCTTCTGATCTTCTTTCCATCTTTTCCATCTCGCGTGTGTGCGGGAGAAAAAGACTAGCTCATACTTCTTCACAGCCCCCCTCCACCCCGTCCCATGATTTCGCCGTTCCTCTATTCTTGATTTCTCTTGATTTTCCAGCGAGAGAAATAACCGCTCGTAAATCCACCTTAATCATTATATCAAGCCCACTTCAATTCTCAAGGAGATTCAATCGAATTATTTCGTTCCACTCGACTACGTAAGAAAAAATTACTCACGAAGTAAGAGCATACACACGTTATTATTACGAATATTTGAACTTATATTGTAATTGTATAATTGTTTATATGTAAAAGAACAACACATCCAAGAATTTATCATAATGGACAAATTTATTATATCGCTTTGATATATCATTGCGAATGATGATGGAATGTTACATGTATGATTACTGTTGGAATATGAGAATGACAAGAATTATTGAACTACTTGTACAGGCAATCAAATTGCATAATGATGAATAAACTGATTCGAATATAAATGCCTTTTCGAGTGAAAATCTTCTTAACACCAGCCGCAATTTAATCTCCAACGTGTTCCTTCGTTTTTCCCCCTTTATGTGCAAAGTATGAATGAATGTGGTGGAACAAACACTTGACATTCACCGAAAACTTTTGGCCAAAGTTTGTCGGCCAGTCTGTGTCACTTGATATTCCAGTTTTTCGTCAAGGATGGGAATATGAGGAGAATGGAGTGGCTCAAAATGGGGCGGATGGGGGTTGGGCGGCGGTGCGGGGGCGGGTTATAGTACAGAGGGAGAGAGAGTGAAAAGCAAGAAGCTTTTTCAGGCGTCGCTGACAAACGGTCTCGGACTTTCTACAGCGGCTTGTCTCCTCCGGGGCAACACAGCAAGCTTCTACCACAGACATGTCTGCTGTTGCCTCACGATGCTGCTCGTTTCACGAAAGTTCCCATAGAAAATCTCTTGAAAAGCTAGCTGCCTAGACACAACCGTCACATTTTACATTTTCCTCAGATGCATACCTCTCATATATTCTCATGCTATTGTACGAATATGAAGATACTCGGTGCCAGTATATTGTCAGTTGTGTTTGATATCTTTCATCCATCCCCCCGAAGTAGTATTTATAAATTAGTTTCGTGATAGCCAGAAGAGATCAAGCTGACTCGAAAGTTCTGGCGTTGAAATTTTGACAAGCAGTGCAACCGTAAATCCATGCTTTCATGTTCTTCCTACGTTGGGTCTCTACCAAGGCTCATCCTAAGTATAAACTTTGGACCTGAGTCTGGCGAAGATTACTATTCAAAGTTGTTTCGTGCACAAACCCCGAAGAGATACGGAGAACGAGGGTGGAGGCTCGGTCGAAACAGTTTGAAATTTAGCTGACGTGGAAAGTATCAATGGACTTTCAAGTTGTTTGCAAGGTGAACTAATCAATACGCTAATGATCACATCAATTTTCTGATTCACAGACGGTGGAGTACGTGCGTTAAATTAACTCGGGGTAATTTCTCCGCAGGGTATTTCTGCAAGGAAACAAGGCGAAAGCTGGAAGAGATTTTTAAAAAGGAAAATTGCTGTAGACGTTAGAAATATGAGAAACTGATCTGAAAAAAAATTTTATTGAATAGTTTTATTCCACTACGATGTAATGACTCTGAAATCCATTTCAAGCATCTTTGAACATCCGCACATTTAGTTGAGGTGCTAAAAAAATCTGAAATTTAGCTGACGTGGAACGGGGCAACTGCAAAACTAAAGCCTGCGATTATTACAATAACTCAGTGTGATGTTGCTTCCACGGGGTTAAAGTCAAAGGACTTTCAAGTTGTTTGCGAGGTGAACAAGATGCAAAACCAAATCTAGAAAAGAGATTTAGAAAAAGAAAAATCGCTGAAGACTTTGAAATTATGGGAAACTGATCTGAAAAAATTTTTATTGAATGTTTTTATTCATCTATGATGTAACGGCTTTCAGTCCCTCTGTATCCTTCGCTTTCGGGATACGCGACCTTTGAAATGGATTTGAGGGTCGTTCATTAGTTCATTCCAGTAGAGTCCACCATCGACGGTTGTTATATTGATTTTTAATTGATCTTTTGATTCGGGAATCTTTGAGCAACCGCATCGACAAGGAGAGGCACAAGTGCGTTGAATAATGAAATAGAAGAGTTCGACGATGCTGAGGAGACTGAATCCAACGAAAACTCCGCATGTTCCGCCAATATCACCTGAAACCAAAAGGTTGACACTATTCATAACACGATATCATGCAAAAGAGCAATTGAAATAGGCTCGATCATAGAATATTCTACGAATAGTCCGATAAATTGAAAAATATTCGAGTGGAGCCAAATTAGGTAAATTCAGTGTTGTTACAGTTATATGACCAGTTTGGATCGTTCATAATTAGGTCAACTCAATGTAGTATCATGTTTATTGTGTTGTATTCTGGAATCTATCTCGAATTACGGAAATTGTCATCGTTCAACTCACTCCAATTCTCTATCGTAAAATCACGGATATTCCCGCCAGGGACCCCAGTGCACGAGAACATTTGATAGCCAACTTCCCCACGAGCTATCATAATAAATGTCAATGGAGGTAGATGAAGATAATACAATGTCCATCAAAGTTGAAGGTTACTTCTATATTCTGTATGTTTTATCGTTCCTCATAGGAGAATTAAATATTTAACCACTAGCTAGCTCCTCAAATCATTTAGATCTAGCTGGAGTTGAATAAAAAAAATTATGCCATTTCTAAAAGTTTAGGGGATCCTTCAATAATTTATTGTATTTGGAAATTTTTAGACTGTTTGAAATTCTGAGATTTTCTATGACAATTAAACAATTAAATTTTTTTTAAACAATCTTGGAAATTGAGAAGAAAGTTGTATACGTTGAATGCCCATTAAAAATTGAATTCCCATTCGAGAAAAAAAAGGAAACGAGTAATACATAAAGAGATTTAACTCACTTATCAACTCATACCAGTAGTACCCCATAGCCTGCTTAAGCCGAACACTCCCGAATTTCTTGAAGTAAATATGTAAAATGCTTTGATTTCTCGTTTCAAAATTGGGTCTGTAAAATAGAGACATTAACATCGCAACTGCAAAACTAAAGCCTGGGATTATTACAATAACTCAGTGTGATGTTGCTTCCCCGGTTCGAGTGGTGTAGCTTGCATTTGCAGATAGTAACGAGTGTCTGTACACGTCGGATAACAATTTGTACATTTCAAGGACTCACTTCTATCCCCAATCGCCTTATCGTAACTCAATGACTCCTCGGCATCGGGAGTGTGCGGTAAAACTGACCACCAAGCGCCTTAAATATGTACAACAGCAGAATGTGAGAATACATCACTGTGCGTATTTCGAGAGAACAATTATCAATTGACCCACTTTTATGAGCACGCAGGCACGGTTCATCCTCTGTATTGCAAACTTTGCGGGAATCTGGTATAGTGTGATGAAACAAAAGGGCGGTTATTATTGTGATGGAGGTAGTATTTGTTAGAAAGTTTGGATCTCGAATATTCAAATTGAAATGAAAAAATTTATCATATGTTATCACATTTACAATGGTTCAATTGTCCTTTGAATGTCCTGCGTTAATTGATTTGGACGAGTGAAAGAATTTATTAAATTTTCCATATGTGGCGTTCGTGATTTGCCCCGAGTCAAGGATTTCGTTCTGATTGGACGTACAGGTCTTTCAAGATCTCTCCAGACCTAGATTGACCTGATAAGTCCTAATCAGTTCTGCGACGGACGTTTCCGCAGGCCTTTCGAATGCTCAGTTCTTTTCGGCCCTGAGAAGTTCTCCTCTACACTACCGAGACCGCGAGATTTCACGAGGCGGTGGAGGGGAAGGCATGTATGGGGAGGGTTAAAATTTATTGCCAACGAGGAGAGAGCGTTGCAGAATATATTTGAGCCACCCTCATCTCTCAGTTCGCAGGCGGTGTTTAAATAAAAAATAGTGAATGTTGATTCTGTATTTATTATATAAACCCCTGATATCAATGATACCAACGGAGGTGACAGAAAAGTCACCTCCGTGAGTCAAGGGTCAGAATGAAAGTCGATTTTCGCCAAAATTGAATTTTTTCGCCAAGTGAAGGTTGATTCTGTATTTTCTAACGATTCTGATGCCAATGAAACCCCCGGAGGCGAAACAAATGTCGAAATACAATTTTTTTTGTTTTCCACCCGGAGCCAAAGGGTCAGATTTTCGGTTTTTCCAGGGGGAAAGTCGACTTTCGCCAAAATCGAATTTTTTTGCCGGGTGAACGTTGATTCCACCTATTTAAGCGACGGGCTATTCAGAACTCTCAAAAGTATGTAGAAAAAGTGCAAACTGAAAAAGTTTTTTTTTTTTCAGATTTTCAAAGGGTCAGATTTTCCGTTTTTCCAGGGGGAAAGACGACTTTCGCCAAAATCGAATTTTTTAGCCGGGTGAACGTTGATTCCAACTATTTAAGCGACGGGCTATTCAGAACTATCAAAAGTATGTGGAAGAAGTGAAAAACGAAAAAAAAAATTTTTTCACCGAAGGCCAAAGTGTCGGATCTTGTATTTTTCCGGGGGGAAAGTCGGTTCAAGGGTCACAAGGGTCACAAGGGTCAAAGTGTCAGATCTTGGATTTTTCGCCAAAATCGAATTTTTTAGCCGGGTGAACGTTGATTCCAACTATTTAAGCGCCGGGCTAGTCAGAACTGTCAAAAGTATGTGGAAAAAGTGAAAACTGAGAAACCGTTTTTTTTGGCCCCAGCCAAAGGGTCAGATTTTCGGGTTTTCCGGGGCAAGTGGATTTTCGCCAAAATCGAATTTTTTAGCCGGGTGAACGTTGATTCCAACTATTTAAGCGCCGGGCTAGTCAGAACTGTCAAAAGTATGTGGAAAAAGTGAAAACTGAGAAACCGTTTTTTTTGGCCCCAGCCAAAGGGTCAGATTTTCGGGTTTTCCGGGGCAAGTGGATTTTCGCCAAAATCGAATTTTTTAGCCGGGTGAACGTTGATTCCAACTATTTAAGCGCCGGGCTAGTCAGAACTGTCAAAAGTATGTGGAAAAAGTGAAAACTGAGAAACCGTTTTTTTTGGCCCCAGCCAAAGGGTCAGATTTTCGGGTTTTCCGGGGCAAGTGGATTTTCGCCAAAATCGAATTTTTTAGCCGGGTGAACGTTGATTCCAACTATTTAAGCGCCGGGCTAGTCAGAACTGTCAAAAGTATGTGGAAAAAGTGAAAACTGAGAAACCGTTTTTTTTGGCCCCAGCCAAAGGGTCAGATTTTCGGGTTTTCCGGGGCAAGTGGATTTTCGCCAAAATCGAATTTTTTAGCCGGGTGAACGTTGATTCCAACTATTTAAGCGCCGGGCTAGTCAGAACTGTCAAAAGTATGTGGAAAAAGTGAAAACTGAGAAACCGTTTTTTTTGGCCCCAGCCAAAGGGTCAGATTTTCGGGTTTTCCGGGGCAAGTGGATTTTCGCCAAAATCGAATTTTTTAGCCGGGTGAACGTTGATTCCAACTATTTAAGCGCCGGGCTAGTCAGAACTGTCAAAAGTATGTGGAAAAAGTGAAAACTGAGAAACCGTTTTTTTTGGCCCCAGCCAAAGGGTCAGATTTTCGGGTTTTCCGGGGCAAGTGGATTTTCGCCAAAATCGAATTTTTTAGCCGGGTGAACGTTGATTCCAACTATTTAAGCGCCGGGCTAGTCAGAACTGTCAAAAGTATGTGGAAAAAGTGAAAACTGAGAAACCGTTTTTTTTGGCCCCAGCCAAAGGGTCAGATTTTCGGGTTTTCCGGGGCAAGTGGATTTTCGCCAAAATCGAATTTTTTAGCCGGGTGAACGTTGATTCCAACTATTTAAGCGACGGGCTATTCAGAACTATCAAAAGTATGTGGAAAAAGTGAAAAATGAAAAAAAAAAATTTTCACCGGAGGCCAAAGTGTCGGATCTTGGATTTTTCCGGGGGGAAAGTCGGTCCAAGGGTCACAAGGGTCAAAGTGTCAGATCTTGGATTTTTCGCCAAAATCGAATTTTTTAGCCGGGTGAACGTTGATTCCAACTATTTAAGCGCCGGGCTAGTCAGAACTGTCAAAAGTACGTGGAAAAAGTGAAAACTGAGAAACCGTTTTTTTTGGCCTCAGCCAAAGGGTCAGATTTTCGGGTTTTCCGGGGCAAGTGGATTTTCGCCAAAATCGAATTTTTTAGCCGGGTGAACGTTGATTCCATCTATTTAAGCGACGGGCTATTCAGAATTCTCAAAAGTATGTGGAAAAATTGAAAACTAAAAAAAATTTTTTTCACCGGGGGCCAAAGTGTCTGATCTTGGATTTTTTCAGGGGGAAAGTCGGTCAAAGGGTCACAAGGGTCACGAGGGCCAAAGTGTCAGATCTTGGATTTTTCCAGGGGGAAAGTCGACTTTCGCCAAAATCGAATTTTTCAGCCGGGTGAACGTTGATTCCACCTATTTAAGCAACAGGCTATTCAAAACTCTCAAAAGGATGTGGAAAAAGTGAAAACTGAAAAAGTTTTTTTTTCAAATTTTCAGTGTCAGATTTTTCTTTTTTCCAGGGGGAAAGTCGACTTTCGACAAAATCGAATTGATTTTCGCCTAAATTATTACACATTTCAATGTAATTCTTCATTTCAATTGGAAACATCCGTGCAATACTTCCCTACAAGACATATGCAAAGAGACATCAAAGAGCTCAATGAAGATGCCCAAATTTAAACGACTGAAAGACGTCCGAACTCTTTGTTTGTTAGAATAGTTGCGCCAAGCATAGTTCCCCTGAGCTACCATCGACATTCACCATAATGGGGCACGAAAATAACGGCAAGAGCAACGATATCAGCGGTACTGTTGAGAAATATACTTGGCGCAAGACTAGCGCCTCGCCTAAGCCCTCACATTCATCGTTACCACGTCTCGGCAGGAAGAAAGGCCGACAACTGCACGCTTTCCATATTGCCGTTGCTCGACAATCAACGATACAATCACTGTAAGTGTACCCCGTTTGCATGGCACTAGTTTCATCAGCAAACATACACTTTCGATGATTAACTGACACTGGTCGAATTTCGTTTTCACTGTAAAAGGAACTGACGTCCAATTCCAAAAAACTTTCGGATGACGGAGCTACTATTGCTTCGGACACGCCGCCACTTGTATTATCTGGATAATCTCCGGGATTGAATATGGTTATCTGGGTGTAATCCAAGGATTATGAGACATTATTTACTTTTAAAACGATTAAATTAATGAGTCATTACCATCCACCCAATTGTTGGGAGAAACGGAAAGAGATAATCCTCCATGAATGGTTCGAGTACCACCGTCAAACCGTTGGGCACTCCAGGAATGCCAATTTTTTTCGAATGAATCTTCACGTATTGTTTGTAATCATCTTCACTATTGGTTAGTGAAGAGTACAACTGGTTATTTGTTGATATTTGAAGATATATGGAGAAAATATTGTCGTAATTACCTTGGAATGTCATCGGACTCTCGAGCGTAATTGAACGTGCAGCAGAATCCATTCTGGGTTTTTCGGAATGCCAGCAACTCCGAACAATTTGTTAAAATAGATCTGTACGTGCAGGCTAGCATAATATCTGTACACTTTGGAGTCAACTGCAAGCATATAATAGGGTATACATATAAATGCTACAACAATTGCTCTTACCTTTTTCATAGGCTCTCAACTGATTTCATAATCTCTGTAATGTCATATCCTTCACCGAAATATGTCATAAACATTTCGTGAGCTTCTTGCCTCCTCGCTTTCCGCTCGGCGGTCTCGCTTTGCTCAAATGCTGTGTCGTATAAAATTCGGAGGGAGGAAATCAGTGCGAAGATCTCCTCTGACGTCTTATTGATTAAATTTGACATTTTTCTGAAGAAACGAGCAACAAGTTGAATGCGAGAAATAATTGAACACTCCAATCAGCTACTCACATTTTAACTGATAAATTCTCTACAGCTCTTTTGCTCATTCTGTTGATACTACAAATCGCTATGCCTTGACAAAATGAATAAATGAAACATTCCACTCAAAATCACAAATTTTATTTCCTTATTTTATCAATTTAGTTCATTAATTCAATAATTCAGAAATTATTACCAGGAAAATCAAGTTTGTCGGATGGATAATTGTCCGAGTCTACTACGGTTACTACCGGTGTACACACATAGTGCTGGCATAGGCCGGTCACCATAAATCCGAGAGTAAACATTGTCGTCACGTGAATAATAATCCAAAGAATCCTACGATGTCCAGGGTTGAACGTATTTGCATGACGCGTTAATTGACGAGTGAAGAGAAAAATTACCTTTCTATCCAGGGTCTAGAGGGCTCACTGAGGTACTTATAACCAACTAAACTTGAACTATCGAAGTACTCCTTCCAACATTTTCCAAAAGCACAAAGTAATCTTTTGACACGATAAGAGCGCTTTGGTCTCCTAGGCTCGGCCCATCGGTGCGAAGTTCCATATCCAGACTGCTTACCAACTTTTATCCCAATACTTTCCATGAACTTTACCCGCCGTCGTATGCACCCCAACCAACTACTCTCTGTCCATGCTGAAAGCAAACAACAATACTCATAAAGTGACCACTATTCCCTTGGCAATGAAGGGCAAGGTCTCTGTACGCGTTTTTTTTTAACTCGTCTCATACACAGAAGCACAAATACACTCCGCAAATGCAGATTTCCCGCTTTACTCTGGGGCACACAACGCTCAACATTACTATCTCACGCACGAGATCTCGTGTGTCAACTGCAAAGTACGGTTGACTCTACCACTTGTACAACTGGTATTAACTGGAAAAAATATCGTCAACGCTGGAGGAGGGAAAAATAATAAATGGAAAGATTCTACTTTGAAATATGAAGACCTACGAATTGCTTATAGCAGCTAACGAGTGTGGGATCTCAACAGATGGTAGAAATCTTTTTGTTATTGGGCTCTGAATAATGGATTGGGGAATTATCAGCCGGCGGAAGTGAAAATTCTGTTTTGTGGGTAATTGCGTATTATAAAATACTCAAGGTACTTCATTTGCGAATGCACAGAGAAAAAAATTCCATAAAAATTACGGTAAAATGGGTTCGGTTGGACGGATCGAGAGAAATTACCGTGCCAGCACCGGAAAATTTGCTGTGAAGCACAAGAATTTTTCACGGTAAATCCGAGAAAATCTCCTGTAGCGGAAAGTCGACTCATCTCCCAGTTCAGTTTTTGAGGAATATTTCCGAATCTAAGGGAAATAGCGAAATTTTCGTAATTACATTTGTTGTAGCACTCAATCGGCTCCACAAAAAAGGTCATAACAAAAATTTTGCTATCTTCCTTAGATTTCGAGATATTGATTGAAAACTGGACAACAGTCAAAATTGAGTTATCTCCTTTTACCACTTCGCTACTGAATTATTCTGGAATTTTTTTCTCCGTGTGGAAGAATTTCGAAGGACAATGTCTTTTCCATTGTTTTTGTAAATCTTGAATTATCGCCATAATCTTATTAATTCGATTTATTTCAATAGTCATTCTCCGCAATTGTGCATTTATACCAGAAGCCAGTAATTTTAGAGAAAAATTTAAGTATTAAATTAAAAGTGACTTTTTATATTATGTGTCATGTTGATAGAGGCCATTCAGAATTACTAATTGAGTTCTAAATTTCATGAAAACTCATAAATCCATAAACTCATGAATTTTCAGGATATGGCGTTGAAACAATTGTGTTCAGTCAGTCTCATGTGGAAATTGAAAACCTCCAGTCGTTTGAATTTCCCAATATTTGCGAAGAATAACAGTGATTAACAAATGTACGTAGGAAATGACCCATCTATCTCTGTCTACTAGTTTTATAGTGCCATAACAAAACGTCATTCGAGTTACTCAGTTTCAGCGAGTGTCTGCTACTTGCCGACGTAAACTCCTGGGAAATCTACAATACAACTCACGGTCTATATACGTATGATATTAGCAATAAACTTGGAGAATAAACCTATAAAGTTCGTTCACATATTTGGCTTGCTGCGACCGATGAATTCTCAGCATCCACGCGATAACCCAAACTGTCCAACCACGTGTTGCCTTTTTCTTCTGTTCTAGCTCCTATAACTGTATGCCCAATGACCTACATTGTATACTCTCATTGCATGCAACGTCATTTCAAATGTATTTGGACAAAAGTTTCAATTTCATGGCGACGCCGGATTTTATTCCACGTCTAGATTGTCATACTCTTGACTATTCTGAATGTATATTATGAAAGTTGAGTATTTTTCGACTAAAGAGAGGAAATTGAATGGAGGAATGTCAATATTAGAATATCACTGTTATAATTAAATTCTTTTTCTTTCTGAGAAACTTGAGGAAATAGGAAGTCATCTTTGGTTCGATTTCACTTTTAATAAAAAAAGCTGACCCGCTTCGAGGGCTCATTAAGATGTACAATTAAAAATTTTTGGCTGAAATTGCCGGTACACTTCTCCGGAAAATTCAGAATTTCATGGAAAAATCAATGAAAACTGTAAATTTCTGTTCAATTATTCCCTGAAAATTATTAGAATTCATTAGAAATCATTTTAAATCAATTCAAAATTAATGGTAATTCGAGACTGAATATTTACGATTTCATTGCAAATTATGCAATTCCATGAATTTTCCCCCTTAAATCGCGAGGAATTACTGGACAGCACCGTAATTTTCCCAGATTTCGTCCATAAACAATCAGCGAATTTCCTATTCACGTAGGAAGTAGTGATCCAATTGGAAATATTGACACTTTAGCCCCCATTGCAATGAAGTGCTGCCCACAACTGCATTTCCACTGACATTCATGAGGGAAAAAAACAAATATAAGTAAATTTGTCACGCCACAATATATGCCTGAATGACATGGGATTCAGTGACATTTATTTTGTTTTACACAGCGACAACATTTAACCTGGATTTGGACGCAATGCCCGATTTGAATGCCGGACGAATTTTTATTCAGCAAAAACGCTGAATTTATTGCTCCGTCGGTTGTACTATCAAAATGGCTCTCACCGGAATAAAGCGAATAGAATAATAAAGCTCAGCAATGCAATGGGTTCGAAACTAGTAAATCGATTGGTTGTGGTTCAGGGGAGAAATGGAGATTCATCTTAATTAATTTGTCGGGACGGGAACGTTGCATGCGGGAAATGTTGGATAATGTGTAATCGATTGGTAGACACGGTATAATGTGAGGAAATTACTTACCTACTGACCGTACCTGTTTTCAATTAATATTCGACTTTTACATGAAGTGAAGAGTGTTCTATTGTTCATGTAGTGACTACAAAAGCTGTCATGAGCAGATGAGGTCTTGAAACTATAAATTGGATTGAGTTGGAGTCAACTAGGGTTACACGAATGAAAAAATCCATACGAATATTTTTTATACTAATTATTTCTATACGATTTCTATTCTTTCTAGGTTTGATCATCTATACGACCCACTGCCACATGTATAGAAACATTTCATATGGAGTTGCGACATTTCTCTACGTTTTTCTCTGTAGCGTCTAGACATCTTTCGTATGAAAACAAAAGTTTATGTAAAAATTAAGGTATAGAAATAATGCGTATAGAAAATATTCTATTAAGAATATGTTCTATTCAGAATATACTTTCCTCAGAAATTGAGTACATTTTATTCTTGATATTGTATTAATTAAAATTGAATAAAAATGATTATTCTTATTCCGATAATGCATGCAGACATTTCTTCTTCCAACTACCCAATTGCGCATTGTGAGCATTGTTTGCATCTATCAACATTATTTATCGAAATTGTTAAAAAAACCCTTCTTCGATATTTTCTTAATTACCGAAATACTCATTTTTGTGTCAAGCTGTCAAAAATACACTCCTTCACGTTTCATTGCTAAAATCAGCTCTCGTTTTTCATTCTGCATTACTCATTAATTCGAATGAATTCAATTTCAATTTCAGATTGTTGAAAACCCCCAGGTATTTGCATAGTTCAAACTTTTCCCCACGAAGAGC